AGGAAGTAGAAAGTCATATGCGAGCTCGATATTCACATCTTTTCAGAAACTAAGGTACGACAAGTTTGAGGACAAACTTCTATTTAAGAAGGGAGAAATGTGACACCCCAAATGTTTAATTTAACATTGCATAAAATAATAATAATAATAATAATAATAATAATAATAATAATAATAATAAGAAGAAGAAGAAGAAGAAGAAGAAGAAGAAGATATTTAATTATATTAAAAAAAAAAAAAAGAAGAAGAAGAAGAAGATGATGAAATATGTAATTACGGCAATTTATGGGCCATAAGGTAATAAGGCCTAAAATGATGCATGAGTTGTCCCTTAGAGATATTCATGAATCAGTGAATCTACTTTGAATCAGTGAATTTACTTAGGGGATAAGAATGTGATGAGGTGGGATTGCTATAAGCAAACAACATGTATCTGCCCAAGCAACGTGGGAGGTCTATCCCTAGGGTATTTGAAGCAACTACGATAGGAAATATGATATACATAGGAACCTAAGCTCACAACCTGAGAGTAAAAGGAAAAAAAATAAACAAATAAATAATAACAGTGATAGTAAGGAAGGTGGTAAAGTAAGATAAGCAGAGGTGAGTTATATTATATCTTGAGCCACCATAATATATTTTATATATGTCTTGAGTTACCATAATATATTGACAGTGCGAGGAGATACAAAGTGTAAGTGCACAAGACAGTGCGAGTGAGGTGCACAAAAGAAGTGCGATAAAATGCATCTTCTATGCAAGTAAGATGCACAAAAAAGTGCGATAAAATGCATGTTCTATGCAAGTAAGGTGCATTTTCTAAGCAAAAGATACGAACATTTTCTATGCAAGTATGGAAGAGTGCATTTTTTATGCATGAAACAGGCATATTCTATGCAACTTTGAAAACACATTCTATGCAATATTGAAAGCATATTCTATGCATAAGACAAGCAAAGCATATTCTATGCAAAATTGAAAGCAAGCATATTCTATGCATAAATCATAACGATGCGCAACACGCATGCAATAGAAGTGTATATACGAATATTTTGAGTTACCATAAATTTCTTTTATATAATTATGTTTTATGGTTATATTAATGTTTCAATTACGTGGATTATTTTCTAAACTTTGTTTGTTTAAATTGAAACCCGTGGATATATTTGTTTAAATTTTAGAAAATATTTGACAATAATTTTATAAACATTTGTTTTGAATAAGTACCACCACAGAGGTCTCATACCTTGGGGACTTAAATAATTGCTGGTCCTCTAAATTGTCACTTTAATGACCCTCTGACAGTTACATGCCTTGGGGGACTTAAATAACCTTTAGCCCTCTGATTAATCACTTCGCGACCCTCTGTCTGTCACGGATCCATTGACCCTCTGTTATGTTCTGTACTGTGATTATAATTATTTTGTTTATATGATTTTGTGTTATATGTCTGTTATTAAAAATAATTTATTCAAATCAAACTATTCATCGTTTAGCCTAAATAATTATCCATGATAATTTTATACCATCATGCTCTCAGTATAATATTTCTCACTCTGCCATGTGCTTATAGCTGTTAAAACCCCCTTTCAGGTGAAGAAATTTAAAGAATGATGGTTTTACCCTGTGGATCAGAACCTCAAATTTGATATGGATATCATGTTTGTTTTTTTTTCTTGTAATCATTATCTGATTGACGTTACATCGTTACATAAATAATAATTTCTATGTACGCTTCAGATATTTATCTACATCTTTTATTTTAATCCGTTGCATTATTTAATTTAATTACTTGGAATTAATCTAAGAAATTTTAGAATTAGCTAGTTACAAATCCAGTCCTGGTCACTGGTATGGGTCATGACAATGAGGCTTTAGGAGGGGTTGTTGACGCTATGTTCATAAGTTTTGGAAGTAGTAGGGTCGGGCTTGGAGTAAACGTAATGCATCTTGTATATTTGTAAACATAGTCTAACTTTGACAATATAAATAAATAAAAACTTCAATGCATGTTTAAATAAAATAAATAATTAGGTACCTTTTTATTTTACTCCGCTTTGTTATTAATTTGTTAAATTTAGAATTAACCTTTGGTAGTCTCAGTTATTGACTAGTTGCGACGTCTAACCTCTGAGTACCAAGGTTGGGTCATGACAAAAGTGGTATCAGAACAACGGTTAAAAAAAAAAAAAAAAAAAACCCAAAGAACCAGATCTGAGTGAGGTTAAACCGCTAATGAGCCTAGTTTTGCAAACGCCGTGCACAACGAGGTTGAGGGGTGATGGCACGATGGTTGCGACGGTGACAGCGACGGCGACAAGCGATGAGTGACCACAGAGTTGAAGAGAGAGAGAGAGAGAGAGTGAGTAGAAGAGTGTTTTGATAATGTTTAACTGTGTATAATAGAATATATAATTGGGGATAGTTTAGTCATTTTGTATGGATTTGTCATTATAGGCAAAGTAATTTAGAGTGTGAATTTTTGACCAAAAAAAATTCAGAATTGGACTTTTGGACCGACTGCTCATGTCTTTATACTTTGTATTGGTTTTCATCAATAAAAGTCTTCTTTTGTTGATAAAAAAAATTATTTAAAATTTTATTATGAAATTGACTTGTAAAATATAAATTTAAAATTAATATTATAGATCACATGCCGAATAAATTTTATAGACATTTTTGAAATTAAGTAAAATTTTAAATAATTTTATAGATCACCAACCACTAACATTCGTTAATCAAAAATGTAAAAATGTACCACGGTCCAGGCATCATGGTGGTACATCCACATGTGCATGCACAATGCTCTCAAAAACTACACGTACAATTTCGAAAACATGTTGTATCGCAGGAACGTGTCTACATTTTTAGGGATGAGCGTAACGTGGATTGGATCAATTTGTTATTTATGATTTTTGAAAAATTAAAATTAATTTATTCTGTTTAAATTGTGGAATCAATCTGAATTACTTTATTTAAATACGGATTGGATCGATTTGAGACCACGGATTCACATAATTAAATAACAAAAAAAATATAGAACATTTTAATTTCATAAAACAAAAGTAACAAATAAAAGTAATAAAACTGGATACACATTACACAAAGCAGAATTCTCCTCTGTAGTAAAACTAAATATAATATCAAACAAAAGTAAAAAGAAAACTGGTTTTAGACAAATAAAAGCAACAAAACTCCATGTACAGAAGCAACAAATAAACAAAAGCATATCAACAACACTGCAGCAGCATGGAATAAAGGTTTAGCTTTTATATGGAATAAGAAATGATATTATGTGAGAGGGTCTATAGTATAAATATAGACTATTTGTATACGGTCCGGATCGATTCCAATCCGAAACCGTGGGGTTCAATCTGGAACCGATCCGCGACCTACGGATTTTTAAATTTTCAATCCAAAATCGAACCACGGATTCAAAAAACCAATCCAAACCTACCGAATTGGACTAGACCGGATCGGATCGAATTACGGATTTCGCGTATTTCTTACTCAGCCCTATTCATTTTTATACACAAGACAAACACAGAAACAAAATTATTATTGTTATTATATTTTTTTACCGGTAATATTACATGTATTAATTAATATACCAATATACGTTATAACATTATTATTAAGCTTATCCATTATAAAAATTATAAATATGCAAAATCTCTAAAATTATGTCATATCATTTGTTAGTACACTAATTAATATATCAATTGATACATATAACATTATTTATTTATTTTTTAAATTGAAGAGAACTTTGAAGAGATCTAAAAATCTAAAATCTCTTCTTCTTTTCTTTTTTTTCTTTTTGAGCACCAAAAGTCTCATTTTTTTAAGTGTCTGCCTTCTTTCTAAATTTAAAATAATTGTACTAAAACAAATTAAAATTAAAAATAAAGACGATTAACAAATTAGTGGATCCTCTTTATGCGTGCTCACAAATTCACATACGATTAAAAAACAAAAAAAAAATCATGATTCATATCATACTAAATTTAAATTGACATATAACACATTTTAAATTTTAAAAAAATAATAATAATTTAAGCATTCTTCATACATCTTGGGACGAGTCCCAACTTCATGAGTCCCACACACCCATAGTGGATCCTCTTTATGCATGCTCACAAGTTCGCATATGATTAAAAGAAAAATCATGATTCATGTTATACTAATTTAAATTGATACATAACACATTTCAAATTTTAAAAAAAATAATAATAATTTAAGCATTCTTTATACATCTTGGGACGAGTCCCAACTTCGCGAGCCCCACGCACCAACAACACCACCCAAAAAACAGAAAGTTTACAAAACAGGCTCTCTGTTTGATCTGTTGTTTTCTTCACCCTCACATGCCCCAACACAACCACTTGGCCACCATTTTATTTTGCGAACATTATTGATAGCTGTAATTTTTAAATATAATTATATATTAATAATAAATTTTATTAATATTAATAATTAAATCATAAATTTTTTGATAAATTTGTAATTATTTGTTTTTAAAACTACATTGAATTATAATTTCTTCTTTTTCTTCTTCTTCTTCTTCTTTTTTTTTTCTCTCTCTCTTGGGGGAATTTATTTCTAGATTTTTTTGGCCCTTCTATCTCTATGGGACTTAGGTCAATTAGACAAAGTTACGTGTATAAAAAAATACAAAGAAAAATATGTAGAAAAAACAATGTGTGAATCAAATCCATTTAAACACTACAAATTACATTTGTAAATCTTATAATTTGTTTTCTATGTCAATTTGATTTAATTTTACTTTTCAAAAATTTTCATTGTGCCAATTTAATCAAATCCATAATACCATTTTTCAGAGTTGGATTAAAATTAAGAGGTAAAATAGTCTATTTATACCTTTAAAAGTGATTAGAGAATTGACATCCAATTTAAATGATCATTTCCTTTTGAATAGATTATTTTAATACCCAATATTTTTATTCAATTTCTTAACAAAAGTTATTAATTACGGTAAATTGATACAATATAAAAAAAAATATATTAAAGGACGGAGTTGTTACGATTTATCATGAACCAAATTGATACAAGAAGCAAATTAGCAGGATAACCAATATAACTTGCTCTTCCAGGTATGGTTTCTGCCACACTTAGAGTTCATCTGAACCACTTTTCTTTCTGCCACACTTAGAGTTCATCTGAACCACTTTTCTGTGCATATTTTTATTTTCTACTTTTCTAGATTACAGAGGTTAAATTACGACATCGCCCATTAAGAGGATACCTTGGTGATATCTTTGCTAGATCTGTTGTATTTCATGTGACTATTGACAAGGTGGCCAGCTGCAATGGCAGACATGACAGAGAGCTCCCCACCAAGAACAGCACCAGCTACAATGGAGGCCAATAGCCTTGAGTTCGACCCTGGTGACTCTCGGCTCGCACCCTTCACTCCAAGTAGGTTAAGGCATGCTGACTGGGATGCTAGTTGGGTCCCACCTCCAACTGTACCCACCTGTTTTTCATAAGTAGTGCAAAAGACTAATTAATTAAAAAAATTCCAACAACTAATTTATAATTAAGGGCTAGTTTGGCATATATTAAATAAGTCAAAAAGTCACTATCTTATTTAAATCACATCACCTCTCTAACACATCACATCAAACCTAATCCAAACCCAATCCAAACCCACCAATAAATCAAAAAATACACTTTTTTAGGACATCCCAAACCAACCCTAAACAAGATCAAATAGATTCGTTACAAGTTGAGATCAGAATATTATTTTTATTTTTTATGAATGGGTCACAAATTTAGTAGTTAATGAGTGACTGACATAGCGATCCTTTAAACAACAATGATAGAGACAATTAATTTTGGAGCTCAAAAAGACCACTAATGACATGGCACTCAATAAAAAAAGAAAAAAAAATACAACACCAAGACCAAAATATCAAATCATTCCTGATGAGACTCACTGTCACATCATTAGTGATAGCACTAATTAGTGCTCTCACTCATTTTCCATCCTTTAAATCTCAAGGAGTCTTGGGGTTGTTGTGAAAGAAACACCTGTAGACTGTATGTCGTGGGAATAGAGAACAGCGTATCCCTAAACCCAATCGAGATCCCAATTCTGACATGCATGTGAAATCATATATCTCTTTTTATGGGCTTATTTGGTTTAATTTATTATATATTAAAAATTAATTATGTAAAATTAAAAATTTAAACAACTCTCTCAGAATTTTTAAACAAATAATTTTTTTTAGCTCATTGAAATTATTTTTATCTAATGAATTATTTAAAAAAAAATTAATTTGTTCAAGTCCTATCAAACAACCCATATGTGTCCTGCATTAAAAATGAAAAGCAGCATATAACATATGGATTTGTTTTCTAAAAGCTTGATAGATAAAAGTTGTATAAAATAAAATAAAATAAAAAATTTAGCCCATCATCTAAAATGCTTATTTTTAGAGATATCAAATTACAACATACCCCCTTTAAAAAGTCTTGCATTTCTAAAATTTGAAAATTTGGTTAAAGATGATCTAAGGCCACGTTTGATTGGGGGTTTGGGAGGGTGGATTGGATTACCAATCCGTGGGACTCACCAAACCCTTGTTTGGATGCAACATAATGTCATTGGATTAGTAGTGAAGGGGGCTTAGTAATCTCCCTATGTAGTGGGATTAGCTTGGGTGAATTTAAGGTGGGATTAGGAAAATAATGAGGGGATTGAGTCTATTTTATATAAAAAATTTAGTTTTTAAATTTTTTTTTTTTTTTACCGAGTGCACCTATTTGTTTTAATATTTTTTTAGTTTTTTTAATATAAAAATAATTTATTTGTTTATTTTATATAAAAATAATTTAACAATCTTATCAATAATCATCTCTCACAATTTTATCAAAACAAACACACTTTTACTTAATCCCCTCACTAACAATCCACACATTAACAATCTCTTCATTAACAATCTTCTCACTAATAATCCTATCCAACCTAATCCGCAAAATAAACGTGGCCTAAGATTATTATTTTTACGTTGTAACAGAAATGATTCACTGTGCTTGGTTACCAGTTTTTCAAAACATTTTTCAGAAAATTCTATTCTTCTTCTTCTTCTTCTTTTTTTTTTCTCTCTCTCTTGGGGGAATTTATTTCTAGATTTTTTTGGCCCTTCTATCTCTATGGGACTTAGGTCAATTAGACAAAGTTACGTGTACAAAAAAATACAAAGAAAAATATGTAGAAAAAACAATGTGTGAATCAAATCCATTTAAATACTACAAATTACATTTGTAAATCTTATAATTTGTTTTCTATGTCAATTTGATTTAATTTTACTTTTCAAAAATTTTCATTGTGCCAATTTAATCAAATCCATAATACCATTTTTCAGAGTTGGATTAAAATTAAGAGGTAAAATAGTCTATTTATACCTTTAAAAGTGATTAGAGAATTGACATCCAATTTAAATGATCATTTCCTTTTGAATAGATTATTTTAATACCCAATATTTTTATTCAATTTCTTAACAAAAGTTATTAATTACGGTAAATTGATACAATATAAAAAAAAATATATTAAAGGACGGAGTTGTTACGATTTATCATGAACTAAATTGATACAAGAAGCAAATTACCAGGATAACCAGTATAACTTGCTCTTCCAGGTATGGTTTCTGCCACACTTAGAGTTCATCTGAACCACTTTTCTGTGCATATTTTTATTTTCTACTTTTCTAGATTACAGAGGTTAAATTACGACATCGCCCTTTAAGAGGATACCTTGGTGATATCTTTGCTAGATCTGTTGTATTTCATGTGACTATTGACAAGGTGGCCAGCTGCGATGGCAGACATGACAGAGAGCTCCCCACCAAGAACAGCACCAGCTACAATGGAGGCCAATAGCCTTGAGTTCGACCCTGGTGACTCTCGGCTCGCACCCTTCACTCCAAGTAGGTTAAGGCATGCTGACTGGGATGCTAGTTGGGTCCCACCTCCAACTGTACCCACCTGTTTTTCATAAGTAGTGCAAAAGACTAATTAATTAAAAAAATTCCAACAACTAATTTATAATTAAACAAGATCAAATAGATTCGTTACAAGTTGAGATCAGAATATTATTTTTATTTTTTATGAATGGGTCACAAATTTAGTAGTTAATGAGTGACTGACATAGCGATCCTTTAAATCTCAAGGAGTCTTGGGGTTGTTGTGAAAGAAACACCTGTAGACTGTATGTCGTGGGAATAGAGAGCAGCGTATCCCTAAACCCAATCGAGATCCCAATTCTGACATGCATGTGAAATCATATATCTCTTTTTATGGGCTTATTTGGTTTAATTTATTATATATTAAAAATTAATTATGTAAAATTAAAAATTTAAACAACTCTCTCAGAATTTTTAAACAAATAATTTTTTTTAGCTCATTGAAATTATTTTTATCTAATGAATTATTTAAAAAAAAAATTAATTTGTTCAAGTCCTATCAAACAACCCATATGTGTCCCGCATTAAAAATGAAAAGCAGCATATAACATATGGATTTGTTTTCTAAAAACTTGATAGATAAAAGTTGTAAAAAATAAAATAAAATAAAAAATTTAGCCCATCATCTAAAATGCTTATTTTTAGATATATCAAATTACAACATACCCCTTCTAAAAAGTCTTGCATTTCTAAAATTTGAAAATTTGGCTAAAGATGATCTAAGGCCACGTTTGATTGGGGGTTTGGGAGGGTGGATTGGATTACCAATTCGTAGGACTCACCAAACCCTTGTTTGGATGCAACATAATGTCATTGGATTAGTAGTGAAGGGGGCTTAGTAATCCCCCTATGTAGTGGGATTAGCTTGGGTGAATTTGAGGTGGGATTAAGAAAATAATGAGGGGATTGAGTCCATTTTATATAAAAAATTTAGTTTTTAAATTTTTTTTTTTTAACCAAGTGCACCTATTTGTTTAAATATTTTTTTAGTTTTTTTAATATAAAAATAATTTATTTGTTTATTTTATATAAAAATAATTTAACAATCTTATCACTAATCATCTCTCACAATATTATCAAAGCAAACACACTTTTACTTAATCCCCTCACTAACAATCCACACATTAACAATCTCTTCACCAACAATCTTCTCACTAATAATCCTATCCAACCTAACCCGCAAAATAAACGTGGCCTAAGATTATTATTTTTACGTTGTAACAGAAAAAATAATCACTGTGCTTGGTTACCAGTTTTTCAAAACATTTTTCAGAAAATTCTACTTTCTTATTTTTCGTATTTTTTTGTTTTTACTGAATTTTTTAAATATTTTAAGCAATTTTTTTACTTTTTAAACACACCTAACATAAATACACCTAAAAAATAAAAAAATTGTAAAAAAAATGTTTTAAAAATTCACTAAATACCAAAAATATAAAAAAATACAAGAATTCAGTACATTTTTTGTATTTCTATGTATTTATTAATTTTTTAAAATATTTTTTCATAAATTTTTTACTTTTTAGATACCTCTAACTAAGGTGCATCTAAAAAAGTAAAAAAATGTTTAAAATTTAAAAAATATTCACTAAAAACAAAAGAATACGAAAACCAAAAAACTCAATTTTCAAAAAACTTAATTCAAAAAACTCAAAACAAACACACTGAAAATAATCTTTTCATTCATATAACCAACAAATTATTAATAAAAAAGAACTAAGTATTATGTGAATAAAACCTCACTATCTAATTGAGAGAGAGGGATAGAGAGGGAGAATGGTAATGGTGGAATACCTCAATGGAAGGCATGGTGACAGAGACGTGGAGGTCCTTGCCATCATTGACAGGTTCCATCATGGTGATGCAGTGAGAGCTCTCCACATTCTGAGCAGGGTCTTGGCCTGTGGCTAAGTATACTGCAGACACAATGTTGCTGGCATGGGCATTGAACCCACCAAGTGCACCGGCCATGGCTGAACCAGTAAGGTTCTTGAGCATGTTGAGCTCCACCAGTGCAGCTACGTTGGTCTTCAACACCTTCCTCACAACCTCTTCTGTGATGATTGCCTCGCAAACTACTGACTTTCCACGCCCTTCTATCCAATTCACAGCTGCTGGCTTCTTGTCCGAGCAAAAGTTTCCTGTTAATTTCATTTCCATTTCATTTCCATAAACACCCATTCAAAATTTTTTGATCAAAAAAATGAAGAGACTTTATTGATGAAAATCATCAATAAGAACAAATAAATGCAAAGAGTATCATAACAATACAAGGCAAACCCAATTAAGGTGACACCCAAAAACACGTACAATCATATGCTAGTACACTATTAAGGGTTGATTAGAAACCAATCAAACCAAAAACACCCATTCAAATTAATATATACATATATACATACCTACTCAAAAAAATTTAATGAAAACATAAATGTCTCAGTTATTTGGTATGGTTTTGTTTTTGAAAAACTTCAAAAATCTTGATGGGCGAATTGTTTTTGAAAATTATTTTGAGAAGAAATTTGGAAAACAATCAATTTCTAAGAAAAACCCAAATAGTTATTTTTATTTTTTTTGAAAACTATATTTGTACAAAAATTTAAAAAAAAATAAATTTTTTGAACTTTTTATTGCCTTTTCTTTCGAGGGGAAAAAAAAAAAGAAGAAGAAGAAGAAGAAAACAAAAATGATACTAAAGAGGCTTGCGCTGTTTGGCAATGACTTAAACAGCCATTAAAAAATAAAAATAAAAAAACAATTTTAGTTAAATAAAACAATTATGCCCGTTTGAGTGATTTAGCTAAAAAAACTATTTTTTTAGCATTTATCAAACCCATCAATTTTTTAAACTATATTTTCTTAAAAAAATTTAAGAATCTAGAAAATTACTTCAAAAATATTTGTCAAATTTCAAATGTCCAAATTGATGATATCTGAATTCATTAATATGTTCATTCAAAAAAACAAAGTTCATTAATATGTGCATTTTTGTGTATATTTTTTCTGTGCACGTAAGATTAAGGGAGATGTAATTACCGGAGATGCCAATGACATCCATGTCAGGAAAATCACTCTGAAGGAAGTCGAGAACGTTCTGGACACCTTTGGAGACCATATTCATCCCCATTGCATCTCCAGTGCTGCACCTGAACCTCATATACAGATTCTTTCCTGCTATCGCACATTGAATTCCTTGTAGCCTTGCAAATCTGCTCGATCTGTTTATGTACATATTCACTTTCTCAACATACCACTTCTTAATAGTTTTCAAATTAATCTACCTAAACAAAATTAAACTATACATGCCTACTCATAAATTTATGCATCAAGACAAGAGTAATCAGAATTATCTTCATTTGTTGATATCCTCATTATTTTTAACAAATACGGTGTAATGAAACATTTAAATTGGAAAATAGAATAATTTTAATTGCACAAAAATCAATCATAAAACTTGGCAAAATCATCTCATATGAATGTTAAACCTACAAAAAAAATAAAAATAAATAATAATAATAATAATAATAATGAGACTTATCTCATGTGAAGGAAGCACGGGTGCGGGTACGAGTACGGTACGGGTACGAGTGCGAGTACGCCTATTCGGCAAAACTCAAAAAAAGTACGATACGGGTACGGCTACGGTACGCCGATATTTTTTTATTTTTTTTTAAATATAATTTTGATTAAAGGATCCAACCTACAAATTAAAATTAAATATCAAAACTAAAAAAAGAACTACTCATTTTCCTATAATTTAAAACCATTAAGCGTTAAAAATAATATTTGTGAAATCTCTCACTTTGATATGTTATGCACTGTGAATTTGTGATCATAATTTATTTTTAAAATCTTTCTTTTTGCTCATCAATTTGCTATTTTTATAGGGTGAGACCAAAGAAATAACAGGAGACCAAAGAAAGATTTAAAGTTAATTACCAACAATAAAGGAAAAAAATTCTCAATTGGTGCAGGTTGTCAATTGCAATTTGCATAATACATAAAATTGCATCATTCCCAACAACTACTAATCAACTAATACAGTATCAATTTTTAATGTTTTGTGCATAAACTTTAAAAGTTTGTTATGATTAAAGATTTTATAAAGAAATTCTAGGAGGATCTAAAGCAAAAACATAATGCATAGTCATACACAGAACTACCCTTTATAGGCCTTGTTATTTTTTTTGGTTCAAATTGCTTTTTAAAAACATTAAAATCATTTGTTGATATGCTTCTACAATTTATACAGACAAACAGGACAACAGAGAAACATCAAAATTACTGATCTGCAAGGGCACCAAAAAAAATAAAAAATAATAATAATAATTGCTAATTTGCAAGGGCAAAAAAAAAAAAAAAAAAATTGGCCTTGGCGTACCCATGGCGTACCCACGCCGTACCCGTGGCGTACCCATGCCGTACCCGAATAAGCCAAACGTACCGGACCCTCTTTTGTCGTACCCGGTACGCGTACCGCCGTACCGGTACGCGTACCCGCACCCGGTAAGTACCCGGTACTCGTACGGCACTATTTTTGAAGTACCCGTACTTCATAGCATGTGAGAGAATTGTATATATTAATAGGCTTTTCCATAATAATAAAACTAATGATATATGAAAGAAGTGTATGAAACCTAGAACCGTGGCAACCAACCCTCAATAAAATTATTGGTTCACGTCAAACATATATATATATATATATATTATTGTATAAAATTAAACTTGAGTTGGTGTAAATAAAATCAAATTACGTCAATAATTGCTTGGAGTAATTTGTTGCTCTTTCTAACTGTTTGAATTGGTAACCCGTTGATCTAATTTTATACGCCAACCCTTACATTATATATGTAAATATCAATATCAAAGAGTATCATGCAAACCCATGCAAAAATAAAAATATTCAATAGCAATACCAAATTGAAACCGTCAATGATTTTAAAGTTGAGAACTATTATATATTATTCAGTCTGTCCTAAATTATTGGTCCATTATATCATTTTTTGTTGTTCAAAAATACATGTCCATTTTAAAAAGTCAAATTTTTAAATTTAAAAAATTTTCAAAATTACACCTTGTAAAGTAATTATAAATATATTTAAAAATAGGAATATAAGAGTATTTTTAGAATTAATCATTAAATATATAAATTCAACGTATAATAATAATGTTTCCTTAAAATGTTTGAAATTTTAAAAAAGAACCATCAATATGGGTCGTAAAGAGTACTTATTTCTATGAGTTTCTTAATAAATATATTTGGAAACAAGGGATTAATCATCAGTCAATAATACAAAATGGTGTTAAAAAATGGATGACATATAATATTATTTAAAATCTTACCCAATATAAAGGAAAACCGATACCATGACCCAAATTTTATCACTTAATAATGATAAATTTGACCGGTAATTTATTGCTTTTTATATTTTTACTACTTTTGGGCAGGTTTGACAATTATTACACCCTTCTCACATCCTTTCCTGGACCAAGAATAATATTATATAAATAAAACTTGATTACATAGTAATTTTGTTCAATACAAAATACCTTCCATTGGGCTAATATTATGTACTTAATTTTTATAAAATATTTAACAAATATATTATAGCAGTGAGATTTTATAAATAATAAGTTACGTTGGTGTTTCTTAAATGAAAAGTGAATATGATGATTTTAAATATCAAATAATATACAGTCTTTGGGTGTTTCAAGAATATGATTAAAAGTTAATTTTTTGATTTTTTTTTAAATTTTTAAAAAATTTTATGTAAAAAATGTGAGAGATAATATAACTTAAAATGAATTAAAAGTTATCTTTTGACTTTTTTGATGGTTCCCAAATGACTCCTTAGTCAAAAAGCCTAACTATAGAAGGATAACCTTTGATGTTAGACTTTAAAGACTATTTGGAGAAGTGGGTTAAATGCCCACTTTCACAAAAAAATTTAAAAAATTAAAAAATAATTTTTAATCATCTTTTCAAAACACTCCCAAAGAGTCCCAAAGAGCCGAGACTCCAGATATTACTACTAAGGGGTTGCCACTAAATTATGAGCTATTTTGAAAAGATAGTTAAAATTAATTTTTTGATTAAAAGTTACTTATAAACAATTTTTTTTATAAAATATGAAATGAGTTATAATTTGAGAAGTGAATTACAATCAACTTCTCAAAAAAGACTTTACGAACTCAACATATAAAAATTCAAATTCACAGTTACAATTTATCCAAATCCTACCAACCATATATACCACCCAAGTAGCTAACCCCAGGGATTACGCCCCCAAGATCTTGCCAGGAATGACCTCTTTGTCGAACAATATCAATCAATATATTAATAAAATATTGAATAGGGTGCGTAATGTAACATAAAATAGAGACAAAATAAGCAGTATGAATACTATTAAAAGGATATTTTTAATTGAATGGATTAGAGTATGCGATTAGGATTATTAATTTGTAAGTTTAATTATTTTATATTTATTTTAATATTTTAGTTTGAAATTATTAATTCAATAAATAATTAATCTAACAAATTTATAAAATTATTAATAATAGAATAGAAGTAAAATTATTAATCTAATAAATATTAATCTAATTAAATAATAAATATCATATTAATTTGATAAAATTATTAATATTTTATTATTAATTTTATGAATCAAATATGAATAAAGACTCAGTACTGACTTGTTGAAAACAGTATGAATAGTATCAGAGTTGATTGGGTCCTCCAAGAAGAATTTGAGCTCCGCCGCCCTCTTGGCGGTGCCGAACCTAACCACCGGAGCTCTAGTCATCCCATCCCTCAGCAACACACTGGTGGCGCCGCCGGACGAGTAGATAGCCTTACACCCCCTATTAGTACTCGCCACCAAAGTCCCCTCCGTCGTCGCCATCGGCACCGAGTACTCCTCCCCGTCCAGCAACAATGGTCCGACGATCCCCACCGGAATCTGAACATAACCCACAGGCATCTCACAACACTGTCCCAAAATAGACTCGTAATCAAACCCCTCCAATGGAAGACCCACCAGAGACTTCCCTGTTATCCTCTGCAGAGCCTCTCGCCGTATCGCCGCAGCTCGTTTACAGTCTCCGAGCTTCGATTCGAGGGAGTAGGACGGCGTAGTCCCAGCCACCACCGAGTTTATAATCTCCTCATCCTCCTCCGACGTTGGTGGGGCAGAGTGCTCCACCGCCACCATTTTCGGAGGAGGAGCCACCAGCGGAGAGCAGTCGATGGCTGCGGCGCAAGGGGTGAGGCGGCGGTCATCGATGAATTGGGCTGCGGTTTCGTCTTCATCGATCTCTTCCCAAGCATCGTGGGTGGATCGGGAAGTTAAGACGGACTGAACGAAGTCGATGCCGAAGAAGCCGAGGAGGTAGATAGCGGAAGCGATGAAGGAAACCACGGCGGCAAGTTCGGAGAGGGTGACGACGTGGAGAGGGATGGAGTTGCGGATCTTGTCACGCCATCGGAGGAGAAGAAAGTAGCCGACAGAGAAGAAGAGAGAGAAGAAAACGGCATTGGTGAGGTAGAGAGGCAGAGGGAAGGCATCGGAGGCTTTGGGAGAGGTGGGTTGTTGTTGTTGGTGGTGGTGGTGGTGGTGGTGGGGTTTGAGAGGTTCGCCGAGGGTGGCAGTTTTGGATGGAGTGAGTGAAGACTTGCCATTACGCCGGCGAACATCCATTGTTCTTTTTAGGCCGGCGAAGACGGCGGAGGAGGAGGGAGGCGGTGGGTGAGTGCTGCTATGTAACTGTTTGTTGTTATTATGAGACTGTGAAAGGTGAAGCGGATGAGTAGGGAAGCGATGTTATTTATAGAGATGGAGAGATGGTATGGTATGGATTGAGGTTGGCGCGCTAGACTGCTGGCCACAAGGACCGCGTGCCATATGCTCTTATTGCACTTCATTTTTATTTTGTTTTCACTCTATTTTTTTTATCAAAATAAAATTAACAAGAAAATCAATCCAAAAAAAAAAAAATTCAGATTATACAGGCAACGCTTTTAAGACAAGAAAAGAAAAGAAAATCACTAAACACCTCCCTATTTTAGAAGGTGTACATTTAGGCCAAGTTTGGGGACTTCAAAAAAAGTCAAAAAGCCAAAAAGTTACTCAAAAAGTTAAAAAATTAACACTATTCACCAAAAGTCAACAATTACGGCTGCACAACTCCCAATGCTGCACAACTCTCAATTCAAATTTTTCCCTACAAATCAATTTTTACAATTTTTTATTACACATTTTTCAATAAAAAGTCAAAAAGTTAACCCAAACATTCATATTTCCAACCTCAATTTTTTAGTCCAAAAAGACAAAAAGTGCACTTTTTTAGTCTTCCCAAACTTGGCCTTAGCCTATTTTAAGAAGTGAATTAAAAATCACTTCTCATCTTTTAATTTATTTTTTTTTTCTTAAAAAAAAAAATAAATTAAAAAGTCAATGTTTAATTATTTTTCCAAAACACTTTTAGGCACTATTTGATATAAATTAAATAAGTGTATTTATTTAGATAAGTGTATTTATTTGAGTCACATCACATTTTTATTTTTTTACATTTTTTTTTAAAATAAAAAATATTTATTTAAATCATTCCAAATAATCCTTTAATTAGTTAAATAGCATTTTATGGTCTCATAAACAAAATAAAGAAAAAAAAAATCTCCAAAGTTTACAATCAATAGCCAACTTTTATTCATTGTGTGGTCTCACAACAAAAAGTTTCAATATACTTCCTTGATCTACTAAAGGATGTTTTAGCGACCCCAATTCGTAGCTCGAATTCGGAGACTTGAATTTGGCTCGAATTCGGAGAAGAAGAAGAAGAAGAAGAAAGAAGAAGGAGGAAGAAGAAGGAGAACTAGAGGGGAGGGGGCCAAATATTTAAAATAAAAATTTAAATAATTTTTTTTAAAATAAAAAATATTTATTTAAATCATTCCAAATAATCCTTTAATTAGTTAAATAGCATTTTATGGTCTCATAAACAAAATAAAGAAAAAAAAAATCTCCAAAGTTTACAATCAATAGCCAACTTTTATTCATTGTGTGGTCTCACAACAAAAAGTTTCAATATACTTCCTTGATCTACTAAAGGATGTTTTAGCGACTCCAATTCGTAGCTCGAATTCGGAGACTTGAATTTAGCTCAAATTCGGAGAAGAAGAAGAAGAAGAAGAAGAACTAGAGGGGAGGGGGCCATCAAAATCGGGCTGGAGGAGGTGGGGCCGGAGGCGAGACTGCACGGGGCTGCGACGATCGGAGCTACTACAACGATTGGAGATGCTGCGACGATCGAAGGCGGTGAAGGCACAGGAGGGGCCCTTCTCTCCTCTCCTCTCTCTTTCTCCCTCTCTCCTCCTCTTCCCCTCTGTTCTTCTCCTATGTTCAACGAAGAAGAAGAAGAAAAGAAAAAAAGAAAAGGAAGAGAAAGAAAAGGAAGAAAAAGAGAAAAAAAAAAAAGAATAGCAAAACGATGTCGTTTTGCGATTCGAGTCAAAATCGGGCCACTTTTTTCGAGCTACCAGTCATTTTCCATGTTATAGAAAGTTAGTTAAAAGTTAATTTTTTAATTTGATTTTTGATTTTTTTTTAAAAGTATAAAAATAAAGAGATAATGTAATTCAAAATAGATTAAAGCTGATTTTTTACTTTTAGTCATCTTTTTAAAATTAAAAAAAATGGCCTAATTTTCTAGCTACTTTTATGAGTTCCTGGACTTTTTGTTTCCAAAAACTAAAAAGTTATATTTCTTTTTTTAATCTTTTTTTCCGAAACTTTTTATCTCCCTGTTTTTTTTTTAGTCTAAAAAGTTTACAAAAAATAAGTCAAATAAACTAAAATTTATTTAAAAACCTTACAAAAATTGACTTGTTTTTTGTCTTATTTAAACCTCCCTAGTCAGCAATTGCCAAGGTGTGGTTTCTCCACGGATTCCCTTATTTCTCCTCGCTCCAAAAATGTTTCTAATAATATTTATATTTTATTGTCTAGGGAAGACAAATCTAAAAAAAGAAAAAAAAAATTGACATAATTTATAAACAAAATCATTAAAATAAAAATAAACCTAACTTAAGTAATAATAAATAAAAAAAGTACTCTCAATAATCATTACTTTTTTCTCTACCTCCTTTTTTATTTTATTTTACGACAGTGATTAATTTTTAAAAAGAATATAAAAATAGTATTTAAATAGAGCATAAAATTTTTTTTTCAAATTATTTTTAGAAAAGATAGTTAAAAAAAGATTACTGTAATATCATTTTAGTAAATGAGATTACTGTAATATCATTTTTTTTTTCTCACTATCTCCCAATAAATTTTTTTTTTCTTCAGAGTATCTTTTCCATTATAAATTTATTGGCTATAAAAAAAAATTACTGTAATATCATTTTACTAAATCATATACCATGTGAATGGTTTAAGGGAATGGCTTGAATCAAATTGTTCTTATATTTTTTTTTAATCAACTTTTTTTTTTTTTTTGTAATACTAGAAACCAAAACTAAAATATAGTAAAAGATTAAAAAGACAAAGAAAAACACTGAAAAAATTAAAACTTCAATCAAAGTTTAAAAAAAATTAAGCAAAAAAATGTTCATACAACAACACCAACAGAAAGAATAAGGTTTTGTTTGGTTGAAGTTTTCAGAAATTATTTTTAGATGGGTTTTCAACCGTCTTTACTAATTTTTCTTCCCCATATTTTAGCCCCTTTTCTATTTTTAGATATATCAAGATTAGATACATTTAAAAATAAAAATAAAAAAATTAACTAAAAAATAAAAATAAAAATCACTAAAAACAAACGAAAATTCAAACAAAAATGAACAGATTTTGTTTGAATTTTTGTTTATTTTTAGTATTTTTAAATATTTTTAATCAATTTATTTTACTTTTTGGATGTATCTTGATTAATTGTATCTAAAAAGTACAATAAATTGATCAAAATATATAACCAAAAAAAAATTATAAAAATAAACAAGAACTAATCTAAAAATATTTTTGAAAAATCAAACTAAACAAACTTTAAATCTCATTAAAAAATTGGTTTTAGGCCAAGCGAAACGAGACTTAAGTGAAGTCTAGATAATTAGGTCTTTCACCTCCTTCACTAATCCTTTAGAAAAGTGTTTTGATTGGATGTAAAACTCTTGAACCATTTCAGTTGTATGAACACAAATGATCCTTCATCTCTTTTTCAAAAAATAAAAAATAAAGTCATATAAATTAGCTGGTAATAATATCAAGGAATTGATCCAGTATATATATGAGATATTCTCTCACTAAATATAATATTTGGGTTTTTAGTCTTACCAGGAGAAATTTTCCTTCCCCCTTCCTCTTTTCTCCTTTTACCATTGTGAAAATTAAAAATTAAAAACAATCCATGATATATCACTTTGGCACCACCACGTGACATGAGATGAACTATGGTCCTGTTTTGTAGGACTTATTTCTAACTTATTTCAGTTTTTAACTTAATTTAAGATATTTTAATGTGTTTGGTTCAGCTTAACAATACAGCTTATAACTTTTTGTAAGTCAAAAATCAACTTATTCTTTGAATAAGGAAAAAAAATTTAATTTATAAGTCAAAAATTAATTTATATTTACAATTATAAACTATGAATTATTAGATTATAAATTATAATTATTTTATCATAACTATACCAGACGGGCCTATGACTCCGTCCAGGTTCAACCCAAAATGTTGAGACTAGCCACTACCCCCACTTTCTTCCATTTGAGGTTTTGCCACTTTAAAGATTTTGAGCCACCCATTTAAAAATTGATCCTCACAATGTGACTAGTCAACAACTAAACACTATTTCAATACAGTGAATCTTACATAAAAGACATGTATTTATTTGAATATAATTAGGGGTATTCAAATAGTCTGTATACAAAAATTTAATATTACTCAACTCAGTTTACCTATTTCATGATCTGTCTTAATCCGCTTCAGTGCCTAGGCCGCTCCGATTTACCTGTTTCATGATCTGTCTTAATCCGTTTCAGTGCCTAGGCCGCCCCAATTCATAAAAGATTTAGAATTTTGGATAAAGATTTGTAACGCAAGTTCACCCATAAACCCAAATGTTTAGTTTGATTTTTTTGGATCTAATATTTATTTTTTTTATTAATTATTCTCATGTTTAAGGTTTTTATTTTTTTCTTTCCATTTTTTTTTTCTCTCTTCACTTGTATGTATTATTACCTGTTTCATGATCTGTCTTAATCCGTTTCAGTGCCTAGGCCGCCCCAATTCATAAAAGATTTAGAATTTTGGATAAAGATTTGTAACGCAAGTTCACCCATAAACCCAAATGTTTAGTTTGATTTTTTTGGATCTAATATTTATTTTTTTTATTTATTATTCTCATGTTTAAGGTTTTTATTTTTTTCTTTCCATTTTTTTTTCTCTCTTCACTTGTATGTATTATATGTTACTTGATTATTATTTATTATATAAGATGTAAAAAGGTCAAAAAAAAAAAAATTTAAAAAATCAAAATACTTAAATTATGTTAGAAAGAAAACAAGAAAAATAACTAATGAAAATATTAAAAATATGTGAATGAAAAATGTGCAGCCCGGTTTACTTTGTTTTTGACCCATAAAATTTGAACTTATGGGTAAGATGATTTTTAAATAGGTCCGACCCGTACCAGCTCTTTAACTAGTCAAAACCCATAAATTTTTATTAAAATATAGGATTTAGACACAATAGTTGTGGGATGGATAAGCCCGACCTATCACATTAATGACCCATAAATATAATGAATTTTACAATAAATAC